ACATTAAAAAAAATAATAAAAATAAAATGGTCCATGCAAACTAGGTTGGAAACTCAAAGGAATAGGTGCAGGGGTTTCTCTTACATTGCTGAATTTTAGCTATTTCAGGAGGAGGGCGATGAAATATAAATTTGAAGTTATCGGGCTGTAATTGGAATGTTGTTAATTGTGCTGTAATCGGGCTGTAATCGGAGTTTCTCTTTTGATATACCACTGTAATTGGACTGTTGTTTGAACTTTGAAGTTCTCGGACTGAGGATTTTTTTTTTTTTGGTTATTTCTTTATAAAATTGGAATGGTTATTTGGTCGCTATATTGTGAAAATTTATTTATTTTTATTGTTTTAATTTTTATTTTTTGTAATTTGTATGAATTGAGTGATTGGATTGAAAAATAAAAGAAAAAGAAAACTATATGTGCACAAAAAGGCCGGGGCGGGCCGCCCTGTCCCGAATTGGGCCAGGGCAGGGCCCGTCGCGGTCGCGGTCCAGGTCGGGTCCGCAGGGCAGGTACCCGGGTCTTCTACTATCCGGCCCGACCTGGCCAATTGTCATCCCTAACTCTGACTGTGAGGCTTCTTCCTACCTTTGTCAAGTACGTTTCAACTTTTTCTGTTTAATTTTCACCATTTTTGTTGAGGTTGTTGGTGTATATTTTCTGGGTTTAGAGATTTTATCTGCAGGCAAGTTGCAAGTTGGATTTTCATATTTTCTTGTTTATTTTTTATGGTTGTTTACTGAAACAGTTTGTTAAGATTTTTGTGATCTCTACCCATTATTTTCTCACTCGATATGGACACATATATATAGTATAAACATCTTTTTTGTATAATTTTGTTACTTTTTTTTTTGTTTGTCTTTACACCTTTTGCTATTTGTTTATTCATTTGTTCTTAAGGATCCTTTTTCAGTTTTATAAAATGGGTTGGTGACTATCCCATTTTTTCCCTTCAATCAAATTAGAAAAAGAATAGTAGCTTGGCTACCTGACCGTATTATGTTCAATTTTTTATTTTTCGTTCTCAATTCTATGCAATATATGTTTAGTATGGTCGCCCAGTGCTAGATGATGTTAGATAAATTGAGGGAGAAGATGAATTTTGTGGCCAATTTTTTATTTTATTTAATTTTTTTTCTTGTTTGAAGATTTTAGCAGCCAGCTGGATTGATCATATATATTATATCTTCCCATGTTGCTTGTTAAACTTGATCATATTAGCATGTGTAACCAATGTTATTCCATTTACTTTAGCAGAAATGGCGTCTCCGGACCATGATGAGGATATTGCCGAAGGGGATTTTTTGGATGAGAGTGATATAATAAATGAGTATGATGTTGATGAAGAAGGTATGCTTCTAGTAAGAAGTAGTTTCTGAAGTTGAGGTTGTATATCCTGTGAATAGTTTGAGTGCATGATTATTTTCCCAATTGGTGATGGTGCAAATATCAAGTTTTTTGCGATTAGTAAATAGTATCTATAGTGATTCGTTTGAAACTTCTGCCTGTTTCTGGATGCTTCTCAAAGGAGTCTTGTCACAATGGGTGTTTAGTGAAGTTGTTTGTTTGAGTCATGCTATTTCTGATTTAATCGGTTTCCATGTTCATAAAAAAATCTATACGATTTATGTTCTCTGCAAAAGTAGTTAACTTTTTTTATGATCATTGATTTTGATTAAGATTATATTTTCTGTTGCACCTTCTCTGTCATGACTACTTTTAAGGGCACTATGTGTCCAACATGCATGTAGTTTTGTTTGCTTCTAAATGTTTTCTGTTGTTGAATTGACTTGATTGTGGCTTCAGAACTTCCTGACGCAGACGAGGAAGGTGGCTCTGATGGAGAAGACGATTCTGGTGCGTTTATATTCAGCTTTTCTCCTATAAGTCGCTTTTAAATCGCACAAGTCTACAAATAAAATAAAATCTTCTGCCACCTATGCATATAATGTATAATGCGATTTGCAACAAGTACAGATGCCTCTAGCAGTACAATATTGTAAATTGGAACTTATATGCTGATTGGTGATGATATATCAACAGGGAGCCAAGGACAGTAAACAATGAAGTATCAGGCAACTAAAATATGTTAATTAGAGATGATATATGAATTGGGAGGCAGGGATAGATCTCTTCTTGCTTAACAGCCTAATCTTTATGAAAGTGATTCCTCCTGCTTATGGTGCTAAGAACTCTATCGTAGATGCTAAATTATTACAAATAGGAATGGTAATAAGAAATAAAAATGGCATTTAAGGAATAAATCTGCCACATTACCCAATCTTAAGTACCAATTACATTATAACGGAAAGTCAAATTAGAATAAGGTATTCTAAGACTGATTTCCTTCAGTATTGCATCTCTATCATTGCTGCCCATAGCCGAAACAAACTTTTCCCCGAGACTGGTAGATGAATACCCATGGAAAGTTGTCTTCCAATGGCTTGGCTATCACCTTCTACTGCAATTAGGGCTTGATGAGATTTGGTGGCACAAACATGCATCAGGACATATGGTTCTTGACACAAAACACAAATCTTCTTGGCCCGAAGGAGCTCATGTTTTTTGTGTGAGTAGTGGCAAGTTACCATTTGTAGATTGATTGAATAGTATCTTGCAGGAATGATACAACATAATAAAAGGAAACAATATATACACCAAATCAATCACAATAATAATCACAGAAAATCAGCCAAGTATCACGGCTGATTATATGCATTGCTAAGAATTCATACTCGTCCTTTTGGGGTCTGAGAAAACAGAGTTGAAATTTCCTTTTATATTGAAATTGTGGAGCTTAGAATTGGGTTGTTGATGTGTTTGGGCTGGATTGATTCGATTTATAGAAATTGGGCCTGGATCTGCTCAAAACCTGTTCTCATTATCTTTCCCACTTGTATTTGGTTGACCAAAAGACTTATGGTGAAAGAGAATAGGAAAATATTGTTCGCATGCGATATAATGCCAGCTTGTATAGGAATCAAATCAAACGCGTTGTTTATTTGAAACCAGATACGGTACTATTTCTTGAACGAGATTTTCGAGGATAACCCCTGGGATGGGTAGCCCATGCGCAATAATCCGTAAACGGAATATTCAGTACTTTATTAATGACATAATAGTAGGAAAGAGCAAAATCTAACACTTGGCGATCAAGAATATTTGTTGCCTTACAAAACTGTTTTTACTGTGAATGCTACAATAAGTAGATCTTTTATGCTAAACTGTTGCAAATATAAATTATAATAAGTTATGTAAATTGAAATCAGGGGAATGAATTTGTCAAAATCCTTAATATTAAGCTCCAAGATCTTGAAAACTAAATATAAGATGTCCTAAAACTGATTGCCTTACATTCTTGCATTACTATCAGCTATGCATTTAACAACTAGTCACTTCCCGAACTGAGTATATGGGTGCTGGGATGGTGATCAGTTGTAAGCATGATCATGAATTGTCAAGTTACATGTATAATATACCTGAGATTTCTTGAAAAATGTTGTATGATTGCATGTCTCTTTGGAGTATGTAACACATTGGTTTTGTGACATTGGCTGGTGTAATTGGACATAATATCTAGTTAATTGCTTTAACAAGAAACTTGTATCTTTGTTCTTATCCTATTTTTTATTTTGTTGGTTGTAGACGGGATTGATGATTCAACACATATATTCACTGGTCATACAGGTGAGCCACATTCTTGTGATTTAGTGTTGGATTGTGCTAGTCTTACTTATATGCCTACTGATTGCTGTTGACCTTGTCAGATATGATGTAAACTCAATATGTAAATGCTAATGTGGTATTGAAGGAATATAAATTAAATTTAAGTTGCTTATTTTAAATCTTTTCAATGAGAGTCAAAGGAGAGAGAAATGCTGGCCACATTAAAAAGATCACTCCTGTGCTATAAATTTGTGTCCATAAAAGCATTGTTGATCTTGTACTCTTTGTATTACGTTAATGCTGATTAATGCGATATATATATCATTAATTTTTCAAGTCTCTTCATTGAGATATAAATTGCTTAGAAATGCAGAGTGGGGTACTGAAATTTTCCTATGTACCTCTAGTTACTGAGCCGAAAATGTGTCCAGTGTATTATACCATGAATTAGAGAACTTAGTCTACAATATGCATCAGGTGAACTCTCTTGAAAGCTTGTGGCTTGCTTGCTGTGAGAATAATGCTCGATAATTGCTTCATTCTTGCTTGTTGTGAGATTGATGTTTGATAATTGCTTCATTGTATTTAGGTGAACTGTACGCTGCTGCATGTAGTCCAACAGATGCTGCTTTAGTGGCAACTGGAGGTGGAGATGATAAAGGATTTTTGTGGAAGATTAATCAAGGAGACTGGGCTTTTGAGTTGCAAGGTATTTAAGAGCCTGTTGTTCATAGCTTATGAATTGCAAAAGCCTAAAAATGGAAAGAAAAATCATCGATCAAATTCCTTATCGATAAGGTTAACTTAGTGTGTTTTTAGGTCCCGCAACCTGTTCTGTTTTGCATTTTTTTTATATTTAATCTCCCCTGGATCAATAGAATGCATTGGGTGGATCAGACAATAAATCATCATATATCTTGAAGGGAAGTCTAGTCAGAAGCGTTTATCATAAATTGTGGATCTCTGTAACTTGGAAATTGGATAATGATGCCTGGGCTCAATAGCTGTAGCTTGATGCACAAAGGAAATGAGTTTTGATTTTCATTCAACTTATTGTTTCTCAGGAGTTATAATTACAACTTATATGGTAGCCAGTAAATAAAATGAGAGATGTTTGAAGACAATACTGATAACAGTTATAATGATGTAGATCTTCTCTCCTTGTCCCTGGCACAATTTAAATATTCACATATTGTATTACTGAAGCAGTATTACTATGCCTACATGGTCTAAGAAAAATGGTTGTTGCATTTGATATGGAGAGAATAGAAATAATGTAATGACTTGTGCTCTGTACTCGAGGGTACCTATTAAAAACCTACACGGGACATTTCCTTAACGATTTTTCGATTGATGACACTCAAACACTCCATGCAGGTCACATGGAGACTGTATCCAGTTTATGCTTCAGTGCGGATGGACAATTGCTTGCTTCCGGAAGCTTGGATGGAATTGTTAAAGTGTGGGACATAGCCAGAGGCGAACTGAAGTGTACCCTTGATGGTCCTAGCGGAGGCATTGAGGTGATATTTGTGAACTTATTCGGGTTAATTTACCTTTTGTTATTTCTGCTATTTTTGCTTAGCTAAACAGTAAAAATTTTGGCAGTGGGTCAGGTGGCATCCAAAAGGGCATTTAGTCTTGGCCGGTTCAGAGGATTCCTCAATCTGGATGTGGAATGCTGACAGAGCTGCTTATCTGAATGTTTTCAACGGTCATGGGGGTAGTGTCTCATGTGGCGATTTTACACCTGACGGTACTCTTTTCTTTTTAAAAAATTAGAGTGTGTGTTTTTCTTTTTGCACCATGATTTTGAGTCTGCGTTATATTCTCTTGCTGGTTCACCTTTTGAAGGTAAAACAATTTGTAGTGGTTCTGATGATGCAACTTTGAGAATTTGGAACCCAAAAACTGCTGAAATTATCCATGTTGTTAGAGGTATGCCATTTTACGTTATTCATTGTGAATTGTACTTGTAGTATGCTTCATTAAATTTGAACTGCCTCTATATTTTCATTATCCTCTAGAGGTACTATTTTTCGTGGCTTGCAAATAGTTCTCTCTACATTTTGTTTCTTTTCCCATTTTCATTTTTGTTTTTGAACGCTTGTTGCGGATGCTTGTACTTAGTCCATGATGTGTTGGAGATTGTAGAACATGAGACTCTTTTTATAATATGGACTTCTTCATTGTGCTGTTTACATCCCGATTTTCACCCGTAGACCGTGTTTACATCATGAAATTTCTTTTATGTTTATTGGACGAAGTGGTTTAGAACTCTAAATCAAAATGAGATGTGATCATATTTATTTTTTAGGTTGTTATATTGACATGGCTTCTGCATGAGATTCCATATAGGATCTCTGATCTCTCAGGAGAGCGAATGTTATGGATTCATTCTAATAATATCGCGGAATGGTACCTTCTGGTGACCCTACTGGGAACAACTAAATTCTGATAATAAATGTACGTTGTATTGCAGGTCATCCTTATCATACTGAAGGGCTCACATGCTTGACTATAAACTCCGACTCTACTCTTGTGCTTAGTGGTTCGAGTGACGGCTCTGTTCATGTTGTCAATATATCAAGTGGAAGGGTGATCTTTTTGTTCTGTTTCATTTCTTTTTATATTCTTATAGTAAACTTTTTTTTCGGGACTGTTTTGACTGTCGACATGTAAAAACAGTTCTTGGTTACTTGATGATGGTCTTATAATGTTCCCAATACACAGGTTGTCATTTCTTTGAGCGCCCACTCAGATTCAGTCGAGTGTGCTGCCTTTGAACCAAGGTTTTATCCCACCTCTGTGTTTTTCCATCTTATATTTATGAAGCAATAGAGACTCAAACACTTTCCTTAAAAAAAATTAAAAAAAATAATAAAACAAAGGTTTGGAAATAAATGTTGAAAATCAAATCAATGTTAGGTATCTTTAGCATATTCGTATTCATCTCCTTTTAAATTTCATGTATTCCATGATCCAATTTGTGAAATTTCTTTTAGTGCTCGACGAGATAGTTGGAGGGCAGCTACAGGTGGCATGGATAAGAAGCTCATCATCTGGGATCAACATTCTTCACCTCGTTGCATATGCGACCATGAGGTTTCGCATAATTTCTCTTTTATTTGATTACTTATTTTCTTATTTTCCCTTGTGTGTATTTTGAGCTTGGTCATTAAGTTGCTTTCCGAAACTCTGAAGCAAGTTTTAACACTTAAGCTAGGAAGTAATTAAGAAATATGGCCTATTTGTGATACTGAAATCCATAGCCTAGTATAAAGCAGCAGTAAACTTACAAAAACAAACTGGCTAAGTTCGTGCCGGACATCGTTTTTTGGGTCCATAGTATCATCCTATTGGGATTTCAAATCGGATTGTAATGATATAAAGATAAGCAAATAAATTCGTGCAGTAAAGAAATAGTTACCACACACCAATAAACAAATCGTTCCATTGACCATGATTTTTTTTTTCCACAATTATTAACTATGTGCACATGGCGGGTTTTTGAGGTTTGAATCAGTTAATTGCAAGGATTAGGGGATAATTACTTTAACACGGTACAACAGTCAATAAGAAGTGTTAATTTTTTCGTTTTTCCTCTTTCATCTTATAATCTATGAGCTTGATCTTTGTTTCCTCTTTATTTCCCTCATACTTTGTTCAGTTGCATAAGACATTCCAGTTTTTGCGAAATGGGGAAATTTTAATGTGCTCATTGTCGAATTTTCTTTTATTCTTTTCGATTTTTTTTTTAGGAAGGAGTCACATGTTTGGTGTGGCTTGCTGGCTGTAGATATGTAGCCACTGGTTGTCTTGACGGGAAAGTACGATTGTGGGACAGTCTCTCGGGGGATTGTGTCAAAACATTCAGAGGGCACTCAGATGCCATTCAGTCTATAGCTTTGTCTTTGAGTGGCGATTATTTAGTATCAGTTTCGATCGATGGTACAGCTCGGGTGTTTGAGATAGCTGAGTTCAAGTGAGAAGAAAAACGAGCAGCCCTTGCTTACGTGTCGATGGCGTGCTTTATTTTTTTTTAGTTTCTTGAATTTGTGCAAGCAAACTGTTGTTTTGTCTTCCTGTTTTTGGTTCCTTGGTATAGATATTGATTAGTGTCTAAATCATACTTTAAAGGATGTTTGAGAATTACTTTTCAGTTGTATGCTAATTTAGTTTCTTTATTGTGTTTTAAAACTTTTAATTTAATTTATTTTGAAATTTAAATTTAGTGGATTGGTTCAATATCAAAGTTTTTCAGAAGACTGTGCCCCTATTTTGTTCTGTACTCGGGCTACAACATAATATTTACCACCACAATGATAAAGGCTACTTGAGTTATGTGTATTGGCTTTATTAAAACAAGTTGATTTTATTTTAATTTAAATAATTTTATTTTTCAAACAAGCTTTATCTTGCAACAATTATAAACTTTAATATTATTCATTTGTCTTTCTTTTCATTATCTACCAATCACCTACTAATTCCTACAAAAGGTCATGATTTTTCCTATAATTAAAATGAGATGTACCATTTTCAACTTCATTTTGTTGTAAGATAATTCATTTCAAAATGAAATTACAAAATCATAATATTATTATCAACTTAAAAATATGGCTATCTTTCCATATTAAAAGAATGATGATTATCATTATTATTTTTATTTTTTACAAAATATAGATCTAGTTTTAGATACCAAATACTCAATAATTTCTCATTATTTTACATCTACCACTATAAATTCTCATTATTTTAGATGCTTAATTTTTTTTTTAACCAACAAATCCCACACAACACTTAAAATATTTCCACTGAAAATTCAAACTTACCTATATAGATACCATCCACATCAAATTTTTTTATGGTTAAATCACCATTTCATATTAATATTAAAAACATTCTATCCAAATTCTAAACTCTAATGTTCACTCCCAACAAAACTTTACATGTCACATGAGTCTTTGAGTGATTTTATTATTTATTCCTTCTAAATATCTACTATAGTCTAGCTTTTCCTTAATTTCCTATACAACAAAAGCAATCAAAAATTTTTTCTAAAAATATTCAAGAATATTACCAAACATATCTAAATCTCCCAATATCCATTACATCTCTCTCTCCCAAAATCCAAATGCTCCAATAAAGTGCAAGCAGACACCCCACCCCCAACCCTCCTGGGACCCACCTCTATTGACAAATCCCATGTCTCTTCCCATGTAAGTTATGCTCTCTCTCTCTCTCTCTCTCTCTCTCCTTTGCAAAGTGTGTGGGTGTGTGGTGGTCCCAACAGATCCAGAAACTCCATTTTCCTGTGTCTCACACAGCACACACACACACACACTGACACACACACACACACACACACCCTTTTCCTCTTTTTTTCTCTCTCCATAGCCTTTGCTTGTTGACAAATTTAAGCCTCCTTTCATGGCTTCCTTTCCCTTTTTCCAAACCACTGAATAGAGCCCACCAAGGTTTTTTTTTTCCTTCTCTCACTGAGTGTCGGCTATCTCAAAGCGCCTGGACCTCATTATCAGTGTTTCTCAATAATGGGGTCTCTTCCTTTTGCTCCTTTTTGTCCCCTTTTCAGCTGATGCAGTTTATTTTGGTAAGAAAAGAAAAAAAAAAACAATCTTTTTTCCGTATTTTTGTTTTCTGCTTTTTCAAAAGTGGGGATTCTGAAATGAGAAAAGCATGTGATGGGTTGTTGGTGAATTGATGAGAGTGAATTTTTGTAGTTTTTGGTGAAAGTGGTGAATTTGAGTTAAAGTTCTTTAGCTTTCATTTTTTTTTTTT